CTTGTGCTGTGCTGTAAATCCTTTACCTAATTAGGTATTTCTGGTTAAAAAAAAAAAGACTGGCCTTTTAAAAAATTGCTTGTTAATCTCGGTATTTATTTTATTTTACTGATTGATCGTAGGCCTGATTGATCTCAGTTTTTGAGTGAGCATTGCCAAAATTATCCACAAATTATGCTTTTTTCAGTCAAGTGTAACAAGGTAGGGGACAAATCCCCAAAAAAGTGCTAAAAATATAATTTTTGGGGGGGAAGTAGTTAAGCGTGAATCTTCTGTGCCATAAAATATAATTGCAAAAATAGTGATAGTTTTGATTTTATTTGCAAGCCGTTTCGGAGGACCAGATTTACAGTCATAGAAGACAAGAACAGCACAATCACATTACCTAGCGCTGTATCGTTACAAAAATATAATGTTAAACAACTGATCTTTTGCTTTCTTCCAGAACACCACGTTCCCGGCTGAGGTGAAGGACCTGACCAAGAGGATACGCACCGTCCTGATGGCCACCTCCCAAATGAAAGAGCATGAAAAGGACCCGGAGATGTTGGTGGACCTGCAGTACAGTCTCGCCAACTCCTACGCCAGCACACCTGAGCTCAGATGCACCTGGCTAGAGAGCATGGCCAAGATCCACGTTAGAAACGGAGACCTGTCTGAGGTCCGAATGACTTCATCCAGAGGATCTTGTCAGTAGCTGGTTTCATGCATGAATGATGAAAACATGATGCTAGATGAAGACAGCCTCAGTCACAATATAAGATATGCAATGAGTGAGAATGGTGACTGTCGATCCCTAACATTCTGCATAACATATAAACAAATGTGAGGGTGAATAATTTAATAATAGAATTTTAATTTTTGAGGGAAATATTCTTTAAAGGAATAGTTTTTTAAAAATGTGCTCACCCTCAGGCCATCCAAGATATAGATGAGTTTGATTCTTCATCAGATTTGGAGAAATGTAGCATTGCATCAGTGTCTCAGAAATGGATGATCTGCAGTGAATGGGTGCCGTCAGAATGAGAGTCTGATAAAAACAGCACAATAATCCACAAGTAATCCACAGCACTCCAGTCCATCAGTTAACATCTGGAGAAGACAAAAGCTGAAACACATCCAGCACTAAAATGTTTTAACTTTGCTTCCTGCTAAAATACGAGTCCATAATCCATAATAACTCTTCCTCCAGTGAGTCAGTGTTCTGGTGTGAATCAGGAGAGAAATCTGCACAGATCAAGCAGCGTTTAAACAGCTCTAAACAAATATGTGGCTGGATTTTGATGTGAGAGACAACAGCAGATGCACTTTTTACTGGAGGAAGTGTTATTATGGATTATGGACTCGTATTTTAATTAAAATAGTCTTAATGATGGATTTGTTTCTTACAAACATGCAGCTTTTGGCTTCTCAAGACATTAACTGATGGACTGGATTGCTGTGGATTACTTGTGGATTATTGTGATGTTTTTATCAGCTGTTTGGACTCTCATTCTGACGGCACCCATTCACTGCAGAGCATCCATTGCTGACCCAGTGATGGAATGACACATTAGGTGAACTATTTCTTTAAAGGTTCATTCATGCAGAAATCAGCACCTCAGATTAGAATTTTTCTGAAAGGGACTTGTGCTTTTTGTATCTCATTTAAAATGAAATTTTGAAAACTCTTTTCCTTGTCCACTTCAGGCGGCCATGTGCTATATCCACATCTCAGCACTTATAGCAGAGTCTCTGCGGAGGAGAGGTGAGCAGCTGCTTGTGGCGATCAGTATTTCAGTAATGCCTGCTTATATCAATGCAATAGGTTTTTTTTCTTTGCAAACATCGCATAAATAGCCTTCCTATTGAGCTTTCGTTTGACATGCTGTTTGGCCATTGCTGCTCAGTTGTTGTTGTTTTTTTCAGTGCTGCACTTCATAATGAAAAATGCTCCTTGCTCCTTCCTGCCACTTGCTTTATTCCTTATACTGTGAGTTTTTGTGGCCTTGACATTAGATGCATTCTAGCTCATTGTGTGGCTGGCGTAGATGCATGAGTTTACAGTATAGATGCATGGCTGGAGCACTTGCCTTCGTGATAAGTATGAAATAGGGGTGAGCAGTATGAACAAAATCTTATTACAGTATGGCTAATTGAATATAATGTTAACAGTGTATATCATAATATAGCTGTTTTTACTGAATATTCAACTAACGGCTGTGGAAATGTTTTAAACGCTACATCATATCACTTAATCATAATTAACATATAGCAAAATCATATGAAAAATCGGTGCATCCCGTCATACTGCTCAGCCCTAGGTTGCGAGTAAACCTGTGTTAAACCTGATGCCGCTCTGCAATCACAGGTTACTGGAAGTCTGAGAAGGGTCGGATCTCAAGTGTGAGCAAAGAGGGAGCCTGTGTAATTAACTCTAGCCCCTTACTAACTCCCCACGATGGAGAAAGTGAGTGCACCTCCACCTGCCCCGTCCGGCAGTGTTCTGTCTGTCTGTCTAAACTAAACACTGAGTCATTATTACAGAGCTACTTCTCAAGCAGATTAGTTTACCTTAACCCTACATGTCAAGTCAGTTTTGTTTGTGTAGAGCTTTTCACAGTGCTTATCATTTCATAGCAGCTTTACAGAAAATAGTGCCACAGTAAGTGAACCAAAAGCAAATGTGGCAAGGAACAGATTCCCTAAAATGTTTAGCTAGTAGATTTTAGTTACATACTTAAGTTAAGTCAGTGTACACTGTAAAAATCATTTTCTTATTCGTTTTGTCTTTTTTTTCCCCCATGATGATCTGAGATCAGCAGTACTGTGCAAAAGACTAATATCAGTTTTAGGTTTCCTAATGTTCTTGTGAAGCATTTAAATGTGCCTGTAAGCTTTTGCACTGTACAGTCTGAGAAGGCATAGTATAAAGCTAAGTTTGTCAGTTTCATCCTGTTTTAACAATTTATGTTTTTTAACAGGAAAACAAAGCAAACATCCCTATTAAAGAAATAGTTCACCCAAAAATGAAAATTAGCTAAAAGATAGCTAAAGAAAAAAAACCTCAGGCCATCCAAGATTAGGATGAGTTAGTTTCTTCATCAGATTTGGAGAAATGTAGCATTGCATCAGTGTCTCAGCAATGGATGATCTGCAGTGAATGGGTGCCGTCAGAATAACAACTGATAAAAACATCACAAGTAATCCACACCACTCCAGTCCATCAGTTAACATCTGGAGAAGACAAAAACTGTGTGTTTGTAAGAAACAAATCCATCATTAAGAGAGTAATCTGCACAGATCAAGCACCGTTTACAAGCCTAAACAGTCCAAAACAGCTCTAAACAAATATGTGTGTGGCTCTTGATATGAGAGACAACAGGAGATGGACTTTTTCACTGGAGGAAGCGTTATTGTGGATTATAGACTCAATGTTTTTATCAGCTGTTTGGACTCTCATTCTGACGGCACCCATTCACTGCAGAGCATCCATTGCTGAGACACTGATGCAATGCTACATTTCTACAAATCTGATGAAGAAACAAACTCATCTACATCTCGGATGACCTGAGCGTGAATACATTTTCACGACTATTCACACAACTGTTCCTTTAAGTAATACATTTTTGCTGTATGAATGTAACTATTGCCAAATAGTATTCATACACTTTTTCCCCCGATTAATTTAACTCTTGGAATCGGCTCGTTTTTCTCAGAAAGGTAATGTTTTAATGAGTTTTATTTTTTTTTATTTGTGTTTTAAAAAAATAGGTCTTCCTGAATTTTGGCTTGTGTAAGGTATTTCTCCTCCCGTGCAAATAATAATGTGAACCGTGCATGTAAGACCTGAATGTGAATGAGCGTGTCCACAAGCACTCCCTGTATCCAGCTTCACGATTCAAGCGAATGCTGCTTGAAGACACTGTAATGTGCCACATACTGTCATATTATCACAATGCAAACAGTGTTTGCTTGCAATTAATAGAACCAGTGATCATTTGAAATTAAATTATTGTGTGATTGCTAATGTACGACTTAATAGATAGAAAGTTAAGTGGATGGATGTATGGATTGATAGATGTTTGGATGTGAAAATGAAGTGGATCCATCCATGCATGAGTGAATACTGTATGGAGGAAGAAATGGATTTGAGAATAGTTGGAATACAAAGACTAATACCTGAATGGACAAGTTGATGGATGGGTACATCGAAGATGGATAGATGGATGAATGAGTAACATACTCCCTGTGTTTGTGTATGAACCTACAGCTTCGTTCAGTATGGGCTGGGCCGCCTTCATGAACATCTCTCCTAATGTGAAAGAAGAGGGAGCGATGAAGGAGGACGCCGGCACTCAGGACACTCCGTACACGGAGGTGCAGAATCACTCCACACATCTCAGAGGAGTGATCGCTTCAAACGTCTCTCATAAACATGCTGAAGGGTCTTTCTGTCCTGTAGGACACGCTGGTGGAGCAGCTGGAGATGTGTGTGGATTCCCTCTGGAAGTCTGAGAGATACGAGCTCATCGCAGAGATCAACAAGCCTGTTATAGCTGTCTTCGAGAAGAGACGGGATTTCAAGGTATTTTGATTATCAGTGGACTGATAGGAAAACACAAGGGGCGTGTTTATGAACTGTATCTGTGTGTCCTGTAGCGGTTATCAGAGCTGTACTACGACATTCACCGCTCGTACCTGAAGGTGACAGAGGTGGTGCACTCGGAGAAACGCCTGTTTGGACGCTACTATCGTGTGGCTTTCTATGGACAGGTGAGACGCGCAAACACTCTTTTGGAAGTCATACTTTATGAAAAGTGCAAAAGTGCAGTTGTCACCTGATATTGACAACTGATATTGTCCTTCAGAGATCTGATGAAATCTGCACTAACCTCTACAAAGAAAAGCTCAACTAATAAATCTGCTAATGTCAACATGTGATAGCTATGTTATTTTGTAAGATAAAAAAAAGATTGGCCAACCTGAAAATTTTGATTTAAAATTATGATTAAATGTGATTAATCATAGCGAACATTGGACTCATTTTGCAACAAGTTTTAGTGTGAGAACTCAGTCTTGGTTTGTGAATGGGCCTTAAACTTTAACAGAGTTTAAAACTGTCAAATGAAGAAAAAAAAACTCTGTAAGCAAATAAATACAAATTAGTGTGGAATATCAAGCATGCAGGGACTCAAATGAGCATGGCTAGTATGAGTTCACTCAACAAGTTTTATTAATCCTAATTAATGAAGGCAAATAGATATTTACTGTCCATAACTCTTGGTGTGTTTAAACACTCTTCTGTTCTCTCCTGCGTGTTGTGTATCTATCAGGCAGTGGTAAGTTTAGTTTAAGTTGTTCTGCTCTCACTCTTAACTCTCCTAATCTCTCCCTACACGCTAATGATATGTGTGTCACACATGGTTTGATACAATATTTCTCCTGGACGTGATCGTTCTCCTCTGCTGATCTAATCCTGAGCGTTTATACTGTGTGTGTACATTGTGAGTGATTTCAGGTAAATGAAGTTGAGTTTCAGACAGAGACATCTAAATGTGATGTTAACCTTCATTACAGAAGCTGAGTTCATTGTGCTTTGTCATTTTAACAGCGTGTTGCACTGACTGTTGTGTTAACAATTGGGCTTCAGCAAAAGCTGTTTTATCCACCTTATTTTTAACATAAGAGCAGGTGCATCTATTTGTAAATTGAATATGCTGTTATACCTCTTGATATCGCAAACTGGCATTGGACAATTTTATTTGAATATATTATTGTAATCATAAACACACTGGTTTG